TCTATTTTACTAAACTATTCTACTTGTCTGCCTTTGCATGACTGCCCTTGTAATAGCTTGAGCTGTCACTATGATATCATTTGATCACCTGACTTGTTGATTAGCTGTTCTATATATATTAATTTCAGCTTTTCTAAAGCTAGTGCCATCTTTCTTGTAAAGCTATCTCCTAGCAGATTTGCAATCTTGTTTCCTTTTCTGTTTAGATATAGATTTGGGTTACCAAAACTTAATGTGACTTGTATTTCTTTGGCTTTTAGCATTGTGTAGCAAGCTAAATTATTTTTTCAGGTCTTATTGCAAAGTTTAAGAGAGTTGTCATACCAATTATTTTCTGTTGTGCCTATTAACAATAGTCTTTGGTTTATATGTATTCTCATGAGTAATTCTTCTGTGCCACTTGTATTTAAATATATATGAAGGCTTGTAATTTGCTTGATAGTAAGCTGGTTCCATAATGAATTACAATTCCCTAAGTTTCTGTATAGCATTATACTATTCTCTGTTGTACTTGCTATTTCTAGCTTATTTTTTGTTATTCTTAATAAAGAGCTTTGTATCTTATTTACTACTGCTTTTGTTAGCTTTGTTGTCTGCAAAATATACAGTAGTTTTGGTATAATACACATGTTGTTTATATATGATACTTGAGCTATTGACATTCTCTTAGTATTTAGGCTTCTAAATGTTGTCCACACTATTTTTTGAGCTCTTGACCTGATCAGAGAGTCTTTTAACTTGCAATTTAACCAAATACCTAAAAATCTTGTTATCTTGTTGGTGCTTTCCTCTTGTATTTGTTCATCTTCTATACTTATTACTCTATTTTCTTTTATTTTATCTGAATTTATAATGATTAATTTAGACTTTTTTCTATTAATTTGTATGTCATTCATCTTAAAAAATTCTTCTGCAATTTTGATTATTTGCTGTTGTTGACATTAAAAGTTTTACATTTTCGATCATAACTTTGATATACTAGACCAATTTGGATAAAACAACCACCATTGGATTCAGCTCACTGAGACAGTTCTAATAAGCACAAAATCATGTGATTCTGATCACGGGATCACGAGATTGGGACGATTTTGATGAAGTACTAAATCAAGTACATGTGACTTGGATATAAATGGCTAAATTAGCTAAGCCCCTAAAAGCATGAAAAGCATGAAAAGTATAGATATCACAGATATCACAGATCTCAAATATATCATATATATATCATTTTTTAGCTTTCCTTCATATATACAATATCTCTTATATATACCATATAGCATATATCTTTTATATATTTAATATTTCTTATCATGTATTACTATATTTAGCATATTCTATTGAGATAACTTATCTTTATTATAATTATTTATACATGTAAAATATCTATAAAAGCACTGCTTTCTGATCCTTCAAGAAAGTTAAGTGCTCCTAGACTTCAACAAGTGTTTTTACACTTCAAATAAGTATCTTTATACACTTAGAAGTATCTTCATATATTTCAATAGTTAATAAATGAATGCAATTCTTAGTATCTTCATATACTATTAATTGTTGCCTCTGCCTTAAAATCCCAAATCACTCTGTATATTGTTAAGTCTTGTGTAGACTTTGTATAGAATCTGTTAAGTTATAGTCATCATACTATAGTTGAACAGCTTCTGTTATTGCTATTAAAATAGAAAATCATCGGGTTAACAATGTTATTATTAGACTGCTTAAATTTGATTTACATAATATATTATTCATTTAATTCTTTATCTAGCTAAGCAAATTTTTGACTATTTTTAATGACCAATATGATATATTGTTTTCATTTAACAGAAGTTAGTGATACAAATCGAAATCGAAATTAATCGATTAGTTGATTCGACCAAACTTTTTAGCCACCAACTAATCGATTAATTGACTAATTGATTAGTTGCACCTAATTGATTAAAGAATTAATTGATTAGTTGTAGTGCCTTTAGATTATAAATAATTGTCCTTCAGAGTTATGAGTATAGTGATATAGAATGCATGTATTTGATTATATTATTATTTTATTTTTACAGTATAGGTTAGTATTACAAATCGTCAAAATTTTTTCAATCGATTAGCTGCAACTGAAAATATTGTGTAGACATCCAAGATTGATTATTAGATGTCAAAATGTGTGAGAGTCTATTTGAAGTGCCTCTGAAGCTGGGAAAGAGGTAATGCAAAAATTAATCATGGTTAATTCCTGAATTTTTTTATGATTTGACCTGGATATTCAGATATCTGTTAAATTTTAAATAAGAAAAATAGATAACGAACGCATCTTTAATCTAAATATAATTATACTTTATTTATAATTTGAATATTATTATTCTAATAAATAATCATAAAATCAATTGAATAAATTGTATTATCCGTTATCATCGTTGTTAAAATTAAATTTCAATTAACATTTTAATTAACAAAATATTAATTTATATTACAATTATCAGAAATTACAAAAGAATTGGATTATTTAACATTTAGTTAATAAGTAGAATATAAGGTGGTTGTATAAAAAAAACCATCTACTAGCCTTTTTTATATATTTATAAACATTTTTGGTATTGAATCGTTATCATAACAATAATAGTAAAAAATAATATGTTAATTTACTCTTTTATCCCACAAAAAGATGCAAGTGGCAGTTTTTAAAATTTGCTTGAAAAATGTATTAAAATTATAAGAAAAAATATTAAAAATGCAATGGAAAAGAAAAATTTTGGAGAAAATTTTGTAAATTATAAGTTTAAAATAGAAAAAAATAAGGTTAGTTATTTTATTTATAGAATATTTTTATAATACTATATATTAACTTATATTTATAGAATGGATACGATATAAAATTTAAAGAAAACAATTTGTATTACTATATTTAAGAATAAAAGTCTAAATTTCTTTTTGATAATTATTATAAATAGAAGCTGCTTTTCTACAAACTATTTTTATAACCCAATTAGCTAATTTACTTTCAGAGATTTTTCTAAAAAACTAATTCATGATGAAAGTAATGAATGCTATCTGCCATGTATTAAAAATGAATTAAGTTATTTTTTAAGATAAATAAAATTGGATAGATGGTGTTTTGCTCAACAGAGATTTTTTGATTCAAGTATTAAAAATAAATTAAGTTTATTTTTTTAGGATAAATAAAATTGGATTACTCAACACAGATTTTTAACCCATTCTCAATAAAACAAGTCATCTTATTAATAATGAAAATGTAAAATTGGACTTAAAATTTTTCACTTAAAGTACAAATATTCTATAAATTTTTTTACGATATTAAATAAATTTAAAGATAAATTTTATTTATTTTTATTTATTTATTTTTTTGTAAAAATTATACTTAAATGTATGATTCAATTTCTAATCTGCAAATACAAAAATCTTCTTTATATCTTTCTAATTGTCCTGAATATTGATATTTTAAAACACATTTAATATCTTTAACTTGACAGAGATTGTATATTTCTCTTTCTCTATTTTTTTGTTTTTTAATATTGCAATCTTTTGATTTAACTATTTCAATATACTTTAAATGGTTTGCCTTTTCAATAAATTTTTTAAATTTTGAAGTTTATCTAGCTCAATATCAAAATACAATATGAAAACTCCCAATTTAATTCACTCTATATTAAAATCTTGTAGGAAATAATTCAAGCTTTCATAATTATAATCATAAATATTTAACAGATTAAGAATTAGGCAAGTATCTTGCTAAGGTTTGTAAAAAAAATTATAAAAAGCAAATCCTTCTAATTGTAGTTGCCAAAGATGTTGAAATTTTTTAAGAGTAGAAGAAAACTTAAAACTATCAGTTATATAACATAATGTAATGATGTTTGGAAAGTTTTGATTTAGCAAAGAAATAAATTCATTTTTTTCTTCTTCAGTTAATTTCCTTTCATATATTACAAAAGATTTTAGTGATTCATACTCAGTATTTAATATAGCTTGATTTAATTCAATTGAATTATTAACCAATTCTAATCTTTTAAGATTTTGAAATTTATTTTTTTCTTCTCCAAAAGGATCTCCAGATGAATACTTTATTGATAAAATTTCCAAGTTTGGCATAAGAATTGCGAGATTATCTTTCTTAAAGCAAATTTCTTGTAATATGAGTTTTCTCAAGCTTTGAGATTTTGCTCGCAGCATCTTATTTCGTAGCATAGTAAAGCTTTGCATAACTAAATAACTTAGCTTGAGCTCCTTGAGCTCAGTTGTACTAATTAATTTTAAAAATAGTTTCTGGCAATTTGGTGGTATATCATCATTATAAACTGTAATGCTAGTGTTTTGTATTTTTTTGCAATTTATAGAAATTACATTAATAAAATTATCTACATTAGTACATCGACTATTCTCTTAATTCTGATAAAGAAAATAAACAACTAGGTGATGATAGGAATAACTTGCTAGATTCAGTCTAATATATGAATAACCTTTTGATACGTTTATATCTACGAATCAACATATTTTGAATTGCTATGAGTGTTGGAATTTCTAAACTAGATTTTGATAATCTTGAATATTTTGGTGCCATAATGAAGCAGCATTATTTATATTGTAGGAAGAATAATTTACTAAAAAATCAGCAAAATCAAATAATGGTTTATAAGAAATGCTTGACAAATCAATCTGATATGTGTTGTGAAAATTTGTCCTTTTTCTTGTTCATTGAGAAAAAAAAGGTAAATAGAAATAATATTTATAGAACGTTTGGATTTCTTGTTAAAAGGATCAGCCCATAATACAGATACAGTAAATCGACAAAATAAACAGTTTACCAAGAGGCAGCTAAATAAAGTAGAATTATATTTAAGATATTGAATAATTTCTAAAAAGCATTCATCAGTTAATTTAGTCATTTTGATGTAATACTGGTAACTGTATTTTTTCTAATTAATAATCATCTTTTGAAGTAGCATTTATAAAAAAAAAATTGATTGTAAAAAAATAGTGAGCTCACTCAATGTATTTAATTCATTTAATTTAATTTTACAATTATATTTTTCAAATAATTAATGTTTTATAGTTTGTTCAAGTTCAGTTATTGTAATAGGAATAAGAAGGTTATCATAGATAGTTTTCTGTATATCATTTAGTAGAAGGTATGTTGATTCCCATTCTTTCCAAAGGGTATTATTCGAGGGATTGCTTTTAGTCCACAATTTGAAGTATAAACGTACTGCCTCTTTAATTTTGTCTTTGTTTGTGATTACTTCATCTGGCAGAATAACTTTTCAAAACTGATTGGTTCATTTCTTCTCTGTAAAATGCTGTCTATCATATGGCTAGTATTGTTTTTGAAGTCTGAGTATCTCCAGTTAATATAAAATTTAATTCGTTGCTTTGCTCCTGCCTTTTTTCATAATTTTGTGCTTGCCAGATAATATGTTTATGCTGTTTTATTTGGCTTATAATAGCCATAGAAGAGGGTGTAAATTGTTCTTGTATTATCAATGAAATCTCAATATCTGCTAGAGTAGCTGCTTTAAGCAAGTGTCAGTTTGCCTTTGCTAGATCGATCACCGAGTTATTCGAGAGACAATTTAAGCACTTATTAATATTTTTTAGAGCTGAGTGTAATTTGGTTGCTTTGAGCAATAAGGCGTAGAAAGATTTTGGAGCTATAACAGTATATAGAATGCATTTATTCATTGCTTCTCTAACTTTTGCTGACCATGAGTTCCAGGCTTTATTAATGCTATCTTTGTTCATGTTCAGAGGAGAAATAGAATATTGGTTGAAAAGTTTATTTATCGATTCTTTGAAATTATCCCAGTCTTCTGATATCATTTTTTTATACAAAAATATTTTTCGCTTTTTCTTTTTATTTCTTGGGCACTTTTGTGATGAGAAATTTGTATGCCATGCTGTATGTAGGATGCAGTAGTCACTTTCTGAAATATTTGAGGCGTTAATTAGCCAGGGAATATCACATGCCAAGAGTATGTCTGAGAAAATTCAGAAATTATCTATTTGGCTAGCTGTAGTCAGGCCCTGCCAAGTTGGTGCTTGAATGTTGTAAAATGTTAGCAGGCTAGTCAAGTTGGCTGCATTTAGATTTGTAAAGATAGGAAGTTGTTTATTCCGGAATTAATTAGTATTGAAGTCACCCAAAATTATAAGATGCCAGTTTTTAGCTCTGGCCTCGGTGGTCCAAGTGAGTAGTTGAGACTAGGTTTACTTCAGAAGAGAAGTGTGGTTTGATGCGAGATAAGTTGAAATAATCTGAGATCTGTTTCTATTGGGAAAGTAGAAGTCAAGACAGACTGCTGTCCTAGAGAAAGTATTGATATTATGAATATATAGTTGCATCTAGTTGCATATCATTAGGCTGTTTCCAAGCTAGCCTCTGTTGATTTGATCTATAAGGTGAGAAGTTTGTGGTGTATATTCTATAGAAAGGGTTGGTTAGTGATTTTGTTACCAAGTTTTTTAACTTTGTTTCAGTAAGAGAAATTATGTATAAGTTTTCTTCTATACAGTATTTTATCCAAGTTTGTATTTTTAGTGGATCATTGAATCCTCTAATATTATGGGTAGCTATGTTAATCTTTCTGTGTAAGTCAAGTTCTAGTTGTTTTGGTGTATCTCTATTTCTTTCTGATAGCAGATTGTCTGTAGAAGGGTGTATACTCATTGATTGTCTGTATTAGAGTCTAGCTCTACTTCTAGCATTTGTGTGTCTGTTATGGTTATGGATATTTCTTGTGAATCGGGTATTGATACAGGTATTTCTTGTTTTTCAAAAATATCAAAGGATGGCTCAGGTAGATCCATTAGGTCAAATATATATTCAGGTACTGTATAATATGCAAAATATTCTTGAAAAGTTTCCAGCACTATGGGAATGTTTGGGTATTTTTTTATAAGAATATTTATATTAGTAATTTTTTTTCCCTAAGGCTGCTTGAAGTTGTTCAATTGTTGAAGGTAGTTTAGTTAGATTTGATCCTGTCTCTGATTTTTCTTTTTCTTCTTTTTTTTCTTTATGTTAATCCAGGATTGAGATATCATATAGAAGTAGTAATGCTCACATAGTATTTTGACTGCAATGCTTAATTCTTTAAAAGTCGAGATTGGTAGCGTCAAATTAACCTGAATAACTAACTTAGCATCTTTAGGTAAGTCTGAGAGGTCTGTGTAGTTGAAGTCACAGTATGCTAATGGCAGTGGTGTTGGGATATTATAGATGGATGGAATACTTTTGATAAAAGTGTTTCCTCCTCGTTGCTCTTTATGAGAAATGCGAAGTTTATTATTTTTAGTTGTGCCAGATCTGAGAGTAGGCATTTGCGAGAGATAATATAATCATTGGAGAGTCTTGTGAATAAGCAATCTATCCATAGAAGTCTGATATGTTCTTTGAAGTCTTCTTGGTTTTTGGGCAGAAAAGGAAATTTCTCTCTTAGTCTTGGTGTTAAGTCTTGTGGAATGCAAGGTAAAGGTTGCTTAGAAGCAGGTAGATCAAAATATTCTGATAGAATTTGTTTAAAGAAATAGAATTTCTGCAATGATTCTCTATATTGGCTTAGTTTTTGTAAATCTGCTCTGTTTGTAATGGGAAACAGGTCTTGTATTTCTTCTCTTAGTTGCTTGTAAAAGGTGGACAAAGGCTCTCTAATATCAGCAATGTATGCATCTGGCATTCTGTTAAATGAGAATATTAATCATAGAGTTTTGACTACTGGTGCAGTCAGTTGCCTGTTTGTAATTAGTAAATTAAAAGGAATTGCTCTTTGTAGGTAGTTGGGAATAAGTTTCAATTTAGCAGATAGAGGTAGTAATGCCTCTGACATGAGGTTTGAGATTGCCTGTCATGTTGTTTCAAAATCAAGATTTTTTGGGATTTTTGCAAAGCCTGCCAGGTAAATATATATCTTGTGATTTCCCATGTGTCTAAAGAGTTGAAATCTAGATTAGTTAGATAATCTATGGCTAGCTTATTTCTCAGTAGTTCAAAGATCTGGTCTTGGGTTTTCTTATTTGTAGCTAGAACATTATGTTGTTTTTTATATGTTTCTAGTGCATTAAGGAATAGGTCATTGAATTCTTTTTGGTATTGTGGTCTGGTTGCTAAAACTCGAGTGAAGCTTCTAAAAAATGCTGTATCTTGATAGAAGAATTTTGTTGTTATTGCAGTTGAGATATAGTTAGCAGTAAGTTTTGTTGAAAGCTTGTATTTAACTAATTCTTTGAGGTCTTGCAGTGAGGTTAATGCATTTTTAATTTTTTGGCGGTTTAAGATTGTTGTATCAAAGGGCTCTAGTCTTTCTTGTCTGATCTCTTTTAAGGCTGCTTGTATACTTTCTTTTCATTCCTTTTCTTTGTCATTAATAAAGTACCTATTTGGGGTATTTCTGGTTTTGTTTAGAAGACTCTTGCTAGCTGCTTGGCTATATGATATTTTTGTTTGTGGCTATTCATCTAATACCATATCAATAGAATGGTTTTTATCATTATCTCTGTTGTCTGAGTTTGTCATGTTCTGGTCTATTTTCATATTAGACAAGATATTTGCTAGTCGGTTAGGTTCGGATTTTGGTTCTAACAGGGTCGATTTGTTTACATTTCTATATTGTTCTGTTGCAGAAAGAACCATGCTGAATATGGTAGAGCTCTGAGTCAGAGCCTACTCGATTTGTTTGTCTATGGGAAAATTGTATATCAGGAGTTGTTTTGGGTTCTAGATCGGGTTTGTTGTTGTTTGTGGTGATGATGTTATTTCTGTCAGATTCGAGAATAAGCTAGAATCTGCTATTTTCCTTCAAAACTATCATAATCAACAGTAGGTGGTGTAGAAGTTGAAGTGTTATCAGCTGCTTTAAGCTTTCTTTTCTTGTTTTGCATATCTATTAAGCTGCAGTTTTTGGTATAAACGTGTATAAGTCATGTTTTCTTTACTTGAGGGCTTGTTATGCCTTTTTGTTATCTTTATTGTTGTTTTTGTCAGTTGCTGACTGAGTTAGCAACAGTGTTAGAAAGAAAGCTAGAGTACAGAAAGCTAGCTTTCTTTTTCATTTAATCTTTGCAAGCTTGTCTGTTGTTGTGTCGTTGCTTTATAGTAATAATCATTTAGTTATAGTATAGTTGTGCTATATACTCCTTGATGTTTTTTGGATCATTTGTTTGTTTACTTATAAAATTAGGATCTACGGGAAAGAATTTGTTAATACAAGCAAATCTTAAAAATATTTTTTAATTACTTTCTCTAAAATAACAAATTCATATATTTATACTAAAATTATATTTTAAAACTTTATAATATAAATTATATTAATAAAATAATTAATATTTTTATAATTATATTTAAATAAACTATATTTTATCTATACTTTATAAATTCTTTTATAAAGTACTTGTACAACCTAAATTAAGATTTATTTAAAAGAAATTATTTTTATACCTCTCTGATTTATTATTCGTACCTCTATACTGCAAATTTTTAATATTCATGTAATCATATGAATCAATAGTTGGTTACCTGAAATATGATTGGGCAATAATATTATATGGCATTGCTTAGATATTAAACAA